ACACATACACATACACATACACATACACATACACACACACATAACCTGATGTATCAAGGCATAGAGAGTCTAGGGTAGGCTTACCAAGCACTCCAGTCTCACCTTACGCCGACTCGGATCATCGAGTGGCCCGTTGCTATGACCACCAAATAAGACAGTGATTGCTAAAGTAATTGATCCATTAAATTTCAGCCATTTTCCTGCTGAACCAGCCAACCAACCGACTAACTAACCATTCGCACACATTTGGCCTCTGGCCCCTGACTCCAATGAGCTGTGGCCTAGACTTCACAGTTGCTCATAGTTTGGGAAGGTGAACGTCCATTGAGGACGTGCCTCAACTTGGTCATACGTAAGGTTTCATACCACGTGGTTGCACATTCAACGTGGCTTTACACGCGTCGGCTTCTCGAAAGTCCTTGTGTTTGGTTCGGGTCTTCATTATGAGCCGAGTTCAGTAAATTTGGCATTTGCAATCTGGAAATCATGCCTTGAAGAGTATGTGCAGACTCAACAAGGAGTTGCGTATATACGCAGACTGACAAACAAGCAGACAGATGTACAATTAGATAGGCAAGCAGACAAGCATTCATGCAATCAGCTGTATACATCAAGTAAAGCAGAAACATTGGAAGACAGATATGCACATTTGCAGAGATAAAGAACTACTCATGAGTAGGTAAATGACTGAGACGAATAGATAGAGACAAATATACAAGGATACAAACACACAGATAGGTTGAGTGAGGTGGAGAGCACATCTGACATTATTCAACATGATCAGATCTGTGTATTCCCTGCCCGCTTAGTTTGGTTGCCGCTCAGTTGTCAGGGCAACCAAGTAAGGCTCGAATGTACGTAAATAAATGTGTCGTTTTTTGTATACCTCAAATCTAAATTAACAAGAGTTTGGGTGACAAACTAAACAGACAGGGAATACTTAGATAGATCACACTGACTAATGCTGGATGTGAACTAAGCCCCACTCAATCTTTCGATAGACCACAACTCCATGAAAGGATCTGTTCGTTCGCATATCTGTGTGTCTGATTGCTTGCATATTCCTCTTTATTTATTCATTTCCGTCATCTGCTTACTCATGAGTAGTCCTTTCTCTCTGCGAATGTGTATATTCGTCTTTCAGTGTTTCTATTTTACGTCGTGTGCGTAGTTGAATGCACGAATGTTTGTTCATTTGCCTATGCAATTGTACGTCTGTCCGCGTATTTAGCAAAATGCTTGTACACGTAAAGTCATCGCTGACCATGCCTTCTTCACTAAATCTCTTTCCGCGAGGGTGTCAACGGCCTTCCTAAACTTCTGTTTCCCTGTGCTTTTACCGTATCCTGCCCTTCGTACTGTTGCCCTCCAATTGATCTCCAGTCCGTAAAATGTGTTATGCTATTTCCGATCTTTCGAAATCCATTTTCATGCAGAATCTTTGATGTTCCTTGAATTATCTGCCGACCTTTTTCTTGTTTGCCAATTTATTTCTGTTGTCAGGCTCCGCATGTTATGCAATAAACTCCCGCGCATTCCAATTTGGCTATCTGTTCATGTCGTGTGGGTAAACTTGTAAAGACTGTGGGTTTTCACTTTCGTAGTCATCTTAATTCTATTTTCTTAATAGTTGACGTAGTTTTTTAGTTAATCAACAGGAAGATAGGCATATCCACTTTATTGCATAACCCCAGTCTTGCCATCAGCTTTTCATGGCCACTATGTTTCTTTGTATCATTTCCCTCGTACATCCGTTGTCGAGGAATATCATAGTTGCTTTGTCCAACTTTAAATCTCAGAATTTCACGTGCGTTAATAGTAAACTTCTGGTGAACAAGCTCCTCATTATTGCGACCCTCAGGCTGCAGTTGCTATTGAGTATTTTTCCAGCATATGATTTCTTTCTGAACAATCTTCCCTTGATTTTTGCATTCGAGCAAATGACTTCAGCATCCGGAAAAGGTAAGCGCCCCTCCTGCTCTACTTCCATTGTAAGTGTGAATGTCCTTATTGTCAAGTTGATTGTTCGCGTTAACGACTCCCGCCTGATCCTCTCTGCTACCAACACATGCTCCTCTCGGTTCAAAATCTCCAGCAGGGCCGTTAGTGCCTGTTATCCAGACATGTTTCACTGCGTTTGGTAACGTGTCATTGAATTTCTTGAGCCTCAATTCGTGACA